TATTCAGACAGGTTTTTTGAACACTCCCTGTTCCCCATTGGTCAGCAAAACAGACAGCCCCGCCCTCAACTCGCACCATTGGTTGAGCTGTTGCTGTGTCAGACTATGCAATGTTTTGAGCAACACATAACCACAAAATAGGCTCCAAATTGCATGGGATAGGAAAAAGTATTTAACACCCCCAAAAATTACACTTTACATTTAACAAATGTCTTCTGATTGCACAAAATTCACTATTTATTTCTCATAGCACAAGATCCTGTCTCAAAGCAGGCAGGTCTTTAGCATGATGCACCCTGAAAGTTATTTTTAGTGGGGTGAATGGTGTCTGCAGGAGCGCATGGTTGAGCTAACACTGTTATTCTTAGGGAGTGAGTCTCCTGTAACCTCTGGCCCCATCACTAATGCTTTTACCGCTCAGTGTCTTGCACCGGATAGAACGAGAAGCTGAAAACTAATTGTGAGAGAGTGGAAAGATCCTGATGGATGATTTCCTCCCTGATCATCAGCTTATCAATTTTGAGAGCTGACTGACTTTTATTTAAACAGCTCTGAACTCTTACAGTATGTTAAGGGAAAATGTCCCTGACTCTCAATGTGACAGTCAAAAAAAGAAATTGTTGCACGCCATGTGAAAACATTTTAAGTTGAACCAACAGTGTACTTGGCAGTGGACTGAATAAAAGTGCAAGCAAATAATCTGTAATTAATATTCATGTACATAATTCATATTCATGATTGTGCAGAACAGACAAATTGAATTAAAAGTTAACAGTTAGTGCTCAACATATGGTCATTCTGCGGGAGGTTAGTAGCATGTTTTTATCAGACAGAGCGGTTTGAGTAACTTTTAGTGATGACTTGTTAAATTTCAGCAAGGCCTGCAGCATATCTGTGAATAATGGAACTTCAGCGCTATCATCTGAGAGCATGGTACACACTATCAGAAAAAAAAGGTACAAAGCTGTCACTGGGGCAGTACCCCAAGGTACAAAAATTAAAAGGTACATCTTTGTACCTTATTTATCCCTAAATGGAATCTATTAGTACTTTAAAAGTATAGATATTACAGGTATCCTATCAAAAAATATATATAACACCTACATTTCTATGAATGTTCTTTAGATAAAAATAAGTTTATTTTTTACAGTTAGATTAGCAAGTGTTATTTACTGTACCTGTCAATGGCTGTGCTGGTTGGCATACTGCGGGCAAAACCTCTGATTCCTCTCTGACTGAAGTAAGGGATGCAGGAGAGGTTTGCAGCCATCACTGCCAGTGAATCTGACGGGCTCACAAAGAATCCATTCTCACCCATAATCATGTAACGATCCTATACATAAGACAAGCATATCCAAGATTATACAGCAGTTAGTTCTGACATTTAATCTGATTAAACAAGCAAGATATCATATTTGATCAAAGGTACTTGTTAATTGATCTATTACATAAAATAACCAGCTGCTGCATCTTTTTGAAAATGATGAAGAATATAATTTTCACTATAACACTACTGTTTAAAAGTTTAGGATCGATTGGAAAGAAATAAATTATTTTATTGAGCAAGGATGCATTAAATTACCAAAAGCTACAGTAAACATTTATATTGTTACAAAAAAATGC